GAATGTTTGTTCATTTATTTATATTATATCCCACTCTTTCCTCCCAAGAGAGTACGTGGTTTTAACCTACCCCCAAATTTATCTTCACATTTGATCTCTGAGATAGGCTGAGAAATAGTTGGCCCAAAGTCACTCTGTGACCTTCATGACTGGATCACCACTTGAAACTGGGCCTTCCCAGTCCTACTCCAGTGATTGTAACCACACTGGTTCTGCTTGCCTTGTACACACATTATAATTTATCATTTATGTGCTATTATTCATATATCATTTAGCTGCCAGGTTATCTGTCTTAAAAAAACAGCACACCAAAAAACAAACCCCAGCTTCTATGACCTTTTATGGCTTGCCTTTATTACCCTGGACTGCTGTTTTATTCTGGGTTTAGTGGCCTTGTTTGCATGCCATGGTAAAATATAAAGCATGGCTTGCTGTGCATGAGTTAATTGCTCCAGTTTTGCTTTGCCCCGTGTCTTTTGGCTGTGCTGGGAGGAAGCAAATTATCCCTGGAAACATCAAACAAGGGATTACTATTTGTTTCACTTCTAACGAACTACCATAGGAGCCAGCTCCTAGGGAATGAAGCCCTTTGAGGGGGCCCCAATGTGTTTCTTTGAAGGGCCATACCTCTTCAATGTTCAGAAGGCATTTGGCTTCGCCCCCTGGCTCCTTAGGATGTCACATGACATCAGGAGGTCGCATTGGGCACCTTCAGTCAAGCTGAGAAGGTGGCACCTCTGCAAACTGCGACCTGTAAGTCAAGAACAACCCTTGGCTATAGATTGTCATTTGTTAGGAGTGAAGCAAATCACAGTTCCTGGTTTGGACAAAACAGAGTAAGCTATGGATTGTGGTTGGTTTCTCCCCAGCACAAACAGGAGGAACAGAACCTCCTAGCTTGGAACATTTACTGCAAAATCATTCACTATTGTTTACTATGATGTGTGAACTAGGCCATTGTGGCATTCTTTATCTTTATGGTTTGGGGCACCATGTTCTAAGCATGGCTCCCCCAAAACACATGATCACAGAGTCCCAAAACACATGGGCTGTGATATTGCATGAGGTTGCGACCCCACATGTTTTGCCTAAAAACACACATTTTGAGGCTCCTTCATCTCACATGGGTCATGTGACTCATCCAGAAGCAGGGGCATGTCCCGGATTCTAAGGTAAACATGTTGGAGTGCATGCAATTCATCGCTCAGGAAAGAATACCAGCTACCACAGTGAAAAACATTCAGGCTACGGATTCATGGCCAAACTACCAAGGGCTGCATTGAGCTAAATCAGTGAGTGCACAGAACAACTTCTGTGAGCCAACAGAACTTCAAAATTTGATTTCTGAAGATCTATTGTCATCTCTATAGCCCCTTTTTTGGTTTGAATATTCGTTTGTTGAAATTTTAATGTTGGAAATAACTTGTGGAGAGATTATATGAAGAAGAGGGATGTAAGTAAGAATATCCACTGAAGGCAGAGAAAAACACCGAAGGGCTGATTTCCCTTAAAATGGGACACAGCTGGATTAGTTTGCCTTACACCCTACCAAACTAGTCACTGTTTGACATCCAAAGGATGCATGAAATACATGACAATGTGATGAAGGAAAAATTTATGCAGCTGCCATCAATAAGAAATGCCATCTGGTCCAAAGCTGTTCTTCAATCCCACACTTGATAAGTGAAATCTTAATGTTTATACAGCTGGTTCTATAACACTTCTGTATATGAATACTTTTAGGATCGTCCTACTCTTGTGTAGGACCCTGGTAGAGACACATGCCCGACTGGCATGTTTCTCCCTCCTGGTCAATCGTTCGGGAGCTTCTAAAGCTTTCTTCAGCCCAAACATCACAGCGACTGATACCAAGAAGCATCAGCAGACTTAGGGATTAGCAGAGTATTCGCAGTTTGTGTAACAGAACTCAGTAGCACAGCATTTTGGCTATCTACGTTTATTTACATATAATACACTCGGAGCATTCTTACTTAGCTCCTTTCTCTTTCTCATCACACAGCAAAGAGAAAAAGAACAAAGGCCAATAGTCCCACTTCATGGAACACGGTAACACAAACATCCTGTCTCCGTCACTTCCCACTATGTGGAATGAAAACATACACCGTCATGTGATAGACAACAATCCCATGATTGCAAACACGGAGCAAGAATCCTAACATATAGAAGAAAAGGCCTAGGAATACACCCTACACAAATCTGGACTTTCTAGAATAGTTGGATGGAGACTTTACACCTCCTTCCGAAAACTCCTGCGGCCAAGCAGGTACCAAATGTATTGCTCTGTTTTCCTTTGGATTACATTGGTGAGACTGGGGGCGGGGAGGGGATTGGTTGTCTGGGCAGCCCAGGACCTCCATATGCACTTCAGTGCAGCTAACACAGCAACAATACAAGAGGTAGCAGTTATGAGTTACCAGTCTCTGCAGCCACAGCAGGCTCTGTGATCCTCCAGCAGTTTGACTTCAACCCCACAGGCACAGTCCATTGCCTCTCGAGCAGACAGAGGCCAACAACATTACAGTGGTGCACTGCAAGACGAATGCCTCGCAAGACGAAAAACTCGCAAGACGAAAGGGTTTTTTGTTTTTTGAGTCGTTCCACAAGATGAATTTCCCTATGGGCTTGCTTCGCAAGACGAAACGTCTTGCGAGTTCTTGCGAGTTTGTTTCCTTTTTCTTAAAGCCGCTAAGCCGTTAATAGCCGCTAAAGCCGTTAATAGCCGTGCTTCGCAAGATGAAAAACCGCAAGACGAAGAGACTCGCAGAACGGATTAATTTCGTCTTGCGAGGCACCACTGTAACTTACATCAGTAATTGTGAAAGAAAAAATCATTCAGCTAGCAATACAATGTCAGTAGTAAATATTTCCCCCTGAAATTGTTAGGGAAATCCTGTTATTACCTTTTTTTTTGAAGGATGACAATAAAGTACAAATGTATATTAGGGAAAAAAATATATGTGAATTTTCCAAGGTTTGTTTTTTAGGTATGCTGGTCCCCTATGGTTTTCTTTCAGTGTCACATGTTCAATGCATCTCAAAAATGAAACATCTCTATTTTATAGATGTAAACCATCATCACTTTCACATACAGATTGATGCAGAATGTCTGAAATGTACTTCCCCCCTGCTTTTCAGGCAACTCTATCCCCTACAGGTGGCTAAGAAGATATAAAAATAGCTAATGGATAAAAAGATAATGCTTTCCCACCATCTTATTGAATGTTGAATAGCTGAAGGTTGTGGCTCTCTCTATTCACAAATAAGGAATATTGAATTTCAAAGAAACACCAAGACCATCCACCAGACAACACATTTAAAGGCTTTTTAGTCCATGCATTCACTCCATGTCACGCTTCGCCCAGTTTTAACCAATATATCTTCCAGCTTTTGTCACAAATTCTCTATTCCCCACTGCAATAAAATATACTTTATGGAATATCCCACTGACTAATGGGTAAAGGGAAAAAGAATATTCTGACAACTAGGGTATATATTAATCAAGGTTCTCATTTTCTGACTAGGAGAGACCAGGGCAGGTGGCCTGGCTTTATGACATCCAATATCTTTCAGTATCTATGTGACCAATTATCACATTCAAGATCATTGAATTGAATTGAATACAATGTTTAGAAAAAAGCCCTAAACGCTAACCCAAATATGAATCCCCCCTTTCAGTTTGGAAGGCAATGAATAAATATAGCAAGACAAATTTTATCCCAGGATTTACTGTCAAATCATACCCAAGAGGCACAGAGTACTTTTTGTGGGCCAGGGAAAAAGAAACTGACTTCTTAGGAAAGGCTGGAGCTTAGAATAAGCTTCCCTGGTGTGTATTCAGATACATATATATGCCTTTGAAATACTCTGGGGATATAGTCACCAACTTGGTTTTGCTCTGTCTTACATTTACAAGGAACCTGAATGGAACCACAGATGTAAATATTCTTTGGTTTTTTATGGAAGACATAAAATGTAAAACTTCTGTCCAGTCTTAGTAGCTGCTTTTAAAATTACCATACTGTCAGGGAACTGCACTGGCGCAGGGGCGAGAGGGGAAAAGCCGGATGGATTACAGAGAGCCCCCAAAGATCGTGGGAAGCAGCACTTCCTCAGCGGAGGAAGGCAGCCATGCCTCTAGTGGAGAGGAGACGCAGGGCTCGGAGGAGGCGAGGCGGTGCCAGGACACCTTGCCTGAGCAAAGCGGGGAGGAGAGAGGTCCTCCGTTACCCACGCCTTCCTTGTGCAGTAGGTTTCCGCGCTGAGAGGGGAGGTGCAGACTGGGCGTCAAAAAACTACTCTGCTGGGGAAGGTTTAAGGACCGCCCACTCTCAGATTCTGCCAGTGAATGAGCAAGACATGGAATAGAGGCGCTCTGCATTCTAATGGTTTTTATCATCAATAAGAAACGTTTAAAACAGACTATTGAAGCATATTGCCTGATTGCTCTCGAGCAACCAACCGATACTTCTAACGCATACGTTTAGTATTTTTAAGTTTGAAGAAGGCTTTGCAACTTTCGTACCAATAGCCTCAAAATAAGCCTAGGAAATAAAAGGCTTTCCCCATTATATTCAGTTAGTTCCTGGTAGCAATCTGAAGGTAGATTCAAAGACCAAATGTCTTCAGAAACATGCTAAATTCTTAAAAAGTGAACATTTCCTCATTGTTGCTCAGATAAAACATTCTAAATAGGTCATGAAAAGCAATGGGAACACATTTTAGAAGCCAGACCAATAATTCTAGCATATGTGATTTATAACATAGTTTTGAAAACTTCACTGACTAAATACTTTCAGTGGAAATGATATTCTTACTTACTTCCCTCTACTTCACATAATCTCTCCACAAGTTATTTCCAACATTAAAATTTCAACAAATGAATATTCAAAACCAAAAAGGGGCCATACTGCATTCAAAATTTTATTTAGCTTAAATTAGTTGCAGAAATTATATAAAGATATCCTTAAATTGGAACTTACTTCTGTCTCCGTGGAATTTCCTGCATGTTTTTACAGCAACAAAGATATCTGTTTTCTTCACAGGATCTCCCTAAAAATAAAATGTCAACTCAACTACATTTTTCAACATTCAGGTTTATATTGACTGAACAAGCTGTTCTAAAGAGACCCTCAAGATATAGCTCTAAAATCTACATTAAAAAGCAGTTTAAGGCAACATAAAAAGATATACTTTCAAAATTCAAAATTATCAAAGTTGCCTAGCAGCATTATCCACTAAAATTCTAATTGAAATTCTGACTGAAGGTTGCAACATAAGGAAAGCAAATGAACAAAAGGAAATATTTAACTGTAGGGGTGTGAAGGTTGAAGACATAATACAGCCCAAAGGTATGCATGGTGGTGTTGAAAAGTCCCACTATTTCAATAGAAGGGATATAAGCATGTGATTAACTTTCCCATGGAAATCGGTGTGATTTTGACGTACTTTTCTTTGGCTGGATCATCCCATCATTCATATGACTGGTGGAGTCAAAACAGCTACTTTAAGGCAAGCCCAAGGGATTTCAAGAAACCCAGTGGGGGCTTAGCCCTTTACTTTTGATCAGCCAACATCTGTACTAACTGGATGTCTCCAGTTCCAGCAGATGTTTGGCACATGGCAAGAGGGCTTTTTAATGGTCATAGGAAACTAGCAGCACAATTCTAGTGGTACTTCTATGGGGTCTGGGTCCACAGCAGCAATTGATAGAAGCTGGTTGTCAGGTTCTTACCAAGGATGTGGCCTAACATCACTTTGACCTCAGCGACACGTGCACACACACACACACACACACACACTATTAATCCCAAAACAAGGAGTTTGTGTGGCAACTAACAGATAGAAAGTGCCAGAAGACATTTCATTGGTTTTGCTGTGACAGACTAAGACGGCTACCGCTCTGGAAATTGTCATAATCATTTCCTCTATTTCTTATCTTGAGAGGTGACTGCTGGGGCTTACATGGCCAATGGCACTATGCATGCATAAGAGGACAATATCGGTAAGCCCAGGGAAACCCTATGGTTTGCAGAAGTTCAAAAATATTTGGAGGCAAGGAACCTAAATGAGGGGGAGGCCTTCCAAAGCAGCTCATTGAGGACAGTGTGTTCAGTGGCTAGAGAATGCTGGGGGGAAATAAAAAATAAGACGAAGGGGGAGGAATGGAAAATGCAGCATTGTGGAGGAAAGCATAGCTGACTGACAAATGCTGCAGAATGCCATCCTGCAAAATTTTTGTTAATGGTCCACTTGTTAGCTCAGTTTCACACAGTCCTATGAACATAGGACATCACACATTTACAGTCTTTAATAAAACAGCCTCACAGTAGGTAAAGAATGAACAGGAAATAATAATTGGCATTTGCCTTCCTTAAATCAAGACAATAAAAAAAAATGGAACTGGTCTTCATTTTCTCTTTAGAGCTTAATAAAATGGATGGACTTTCATTATGAGTTAATAACACACACATACCAAACTATTTTCCAAAGGACTATGGACTTGCTTAGAGAACAATGAAATTGAGGGCACAGAGGTTGAAAGGCTTGTGGGAAATAAATCAATAAATAGTGAAGGGGAAAGAAATTTAAGCCAGCCAGTGAATAAATAATAAATACTTAGCCCTTTCCACTGTTCAAAGAGTTTCTCATACACTGCATTCTTGCAATCCTTACAACAAACAGTGAACAGTTCAGTATTAAATAACAGCAAAACAACAGAAAATCATGGGCCAAAATAGCTAATCCTTTACAGAAGCCAGCTTTCTTTCCCTTTCTCCTTCTGTTTGCTGCTTCCAGTCATCTTCTCCAGCTCTTCTCAACAGTCCAAAGTACCCACCCTTTTAGCTTCTTATATCTTCTGACCTAAGATGTTTCCCCTGGTTTGAAAAATCTCACTCTGCCTGTGACTCCACATACAGTATGCACACACTTTTTCATTTCCCCTCTCCACTCACACTAGATGTACCAGGGCAGCCAGCCACATTTCTTGTTCATGTACCCGTATGTGCCCCACTCAAATATAAAATTATACGGTTTTTAATTTTTTTCTCTCCGCCACGAAGAAATAAGGAGTAGACATATAGTGCTAGTGTAGTTTTTTAGAAAGAGGCTTCATGACTTCTGGAGTTTGTATATGGAATTCTGACCCCATCCCCATCCAAGCAACTAGTATTGTAATAAACTATTTCATAAAATATGTGATTTTTAATGTTTTGTTGTTATATTAAAATTCATCTAACTCTCTGCCCCGCTCAACATCACCCTACTTTCTTTGGGCTTCTTCTTTCAAAAACATATATATTCATAGACTCAGAAGGAATCCAAAGGGCCATCTAGTCCAACCCTCTGCTATTTCATCTAAAGCATCCATGACAGATGGCCACCCAACCTCAATACCATATTATATTGTTGGGGCAACTCCTTCCCTACCTTGCGTAGCGGTCCTTAAGAGAGATCTGTGTGCTCTCGGGAAAGGTAGAAGAGTGGGAGCCGAGGGAAGTAAACTCTTGCACCAACAGCTCCCAGTTGGCCTGAGAGGACTTTGTTACTCTTCGTTTACATGATGCATTTGTTTTAGTATTTTAAAATTGTAGCTGCTTTGGATGCTTTGGCAGAAAGGCAGTATAGGATTCAAAATAAAAGAATTAATTAAAATGCCTAGACAGGCAAATTATACTACCCATAGGGATATGCAAATAGATCAATAACAGTAGCTGTGCTGTAAATAGCAATGTTCGTTACATAAACAAGATCACAACACTGCCAGGAATGGGAAAAGAAAATAGAGTTATTTTTGCAAACTTCCAGCCCAAGCCAAGATCATACCAATTTAACAAAATGTGAACCACAACAGGCCAAGTCTGAGTAATGGAAACATAACCAGAAAGACAAAGAGGAATAGAAGAACAAACTTCTGTTTGTACTACTTGCATCTAAAGTATCTTGCAAAGTCCTCAACCTTGAGAAATTTTAAAGAATTCATAAGAACAGTTAAAGGTGGATTAGAATAGGCTCTCTTTACATCTTTTTACAGGAAAAAGACAATCTGAAAATACTTACACAAAGTGGGAGGAAATTAGCAAATGTAGTGGCACAGTGAGCAGCATTAGGAGAGTCAAAGTCTTCTGTACAGAAGTCAGGGACTGGGGTGAGATGTGGTCCACTGCCTTTCTCCCAGATATAAAGCGCAATCTTTCAAAATACACAAAAAAGTATAATTAATGCTGAAATATATTCATTCTATTAAAATTCAATGCAAATGGCTTTCAGTATAATAAGTTAGAAAAAAGATGGGAGAACTACACTAAGATATATTATCTCGTGGTGTAAAAGAGTTTTGAAGTTTTAAACCAGAGCTTATGTGAATAATTATATGTGTGCAGGTGTACAGTAGTATACGACTGATAAACTACTAGCTCTCCTCCCAATAAAACCACAGATATATCATGTCAAGCGCCAGGAACCTCTCCTTTCAATCACCCTAGATTTATTCATCGTGCCTCCATTCCTATCCCAAGCAAAAAAAGGTCTCTTTAAGAAGAATAAGGGCTATAGCTCAGTGTTAGAGCACATGTTTTGCATGCAGATGGCCTCAGGTTTAATACCTGACATCTCCAGGAAGAACTAGGAAAGATTTTCAGCATCTACTGATGTTTTTAATTATGTTTTATAGATATCTATAGGATGATTTTATTGCATTTTATATGTTGTAAGCTGCCTTGTTATATTTTATGAGATATATTTATTTATTTTCAAATAAATTTTGATAAATAACACTGGAGAGGTGCTGCTATTCAGTGCAGACTGTACTGTGCTAGGAGCCTTCCTATGCATCTAATAAGGGCTAACAGGCACTTGGAGAGGGCTTGCTAGAGACAGAGTGATGTATCCAACACTCTATTAGTAAAGTTCTATTTGTGCAATGAGGCTTTGCTTGTCTCCATTCTCCCCTGACAACTCTCAAACTCTGTTCCAGAGAGGACCCTAACAGTTCTCTTCTCAGAGAAAGTACAAATTTTGGTTAGAGATGGAGGGATGGTTAGTAGGGATGGGCAATATCTTGCTTCATGGCTTTTCCCACATTGTGATTTTTGCATAACACATACACAATGATTCATGATATATTGCCAGGTCAGAAATTAAGAAACCAGTTATCACAATATGGACTTCAAACCTGGTTGGGACGATATAGCACCCAACCCTAATGGCTAGTGCTGGGGCAGGAGCAAATTCAATTTTGAACTGGACCCTCATTTACAGGTGTCCAGCTCAGCTCAAAGCAAAGTGAGGCTTTTCAAATTGGGGGGGTTTCTAATTCAAACTCCACCAACTGCAAATTCACCTGCATCACTAATCTTTTCACAGATCCCTACATCTAACCAATGTATCTGCCATCTCATGAGAATCACATATGTTCAGTGACTATTGTTTATTCCCAGCTTGAGAAGAGGAAAACACAAACTGAAAATAAGTTTAGTTAAGACTGACAAGAACAGATGTCTGGGAAGGTTGGCAAATGTTCACAGCTGTGCAGACACGCATTCTTCCCTGCAGCTACTTCTAACATTTGAACAATAATAAGTCCGTGAATTTGTGGGAAATCAATCAAATAGAAAAAGACATTTGTAAGAGACACATTTTAAAACTATGTGTATTTTGACTACTGCATTAGTGTGCTTTCGTGATACTACTTCACAATGTGGCAATGTAACACAGAGAACTTCATAAGATAAATAGGTGTGCAATCTTCTTTTGCACCGGTGGAAAATTTTAAGGACTGAGCTGACTGCTTTGTAATTTTTGTATCAAGTGCTTTTGTCCCACAGACGTCCTAAGACCTAGATAATTTCCAGTCTTTAACAGTAACGAGCAAAGAACTCATGACACTCATGGCTTGTTAAAAGTTAGAAAGCAATGGGAATAGGACATCTTATGATTCATACTGGGTAGGGGAGGAAGGAACCCTGGAAAGATTAATTGTAAAAAAAAATCCACAATAGGCTCAGCATGTATCCTTAAAAGGAAGAATTAATACACCCAAAAGAAGAGCTGTAAAAGAATATAGTAAAAATGAATTATATTCCATCTGGAAAGGCACAGCAGCATACTGAATGTGGTTGAAAGGAACAGGAATGAAATAATGACCCAAGGCATCATATGCTTTTGAGTGCACAGGAGCAGATCACAACTCCCTTCACTTTCAATAATGCCTAGTGTTACAATAAATTGTCACAGGAAAAGGAAAAAGAATGCTAACCTTTAAATATATATCACATTACTATTAAATGTAGCCTGCAATTCTACAAGCGTAGATTCCCAGCTGCCACTAGAAATGCCCTTGTCCCCAATCTGAACATTATTAAATCAAGTGAAGAAGGAAGACCTACACATATATGTGTTGCTCCATTTTCAGACATATATTCCTGGCTAATAGGACAGATAAGCCCCTCCTGCAATCTGAGGCTACTAGAGATGAAATTTTCACTTCTTAACATCCAGGACATCTGTGCTAACTGTGGTTAGGCAGAATTCGTGTTCTGTGTTTTGAGGGAGAGAGATAAAAATGTCCCATATTTAATCTTTTCTTTTCTTTCTTTTTAATCAGGACATCTTGCAGTGAACAACTATCAAATAAGAACTTCTGCTTTAACAACTGTGCTACCCATGTTATTGAACGAGTCTTTCCTGTCCTTTCTGTTTTGGTGCACGACTGGATTTGAATCAGTGTAGTGAAGGCAAGTCCTGGATGAGTTAAAAATAAAACCTGAAGAATTGAAACCATTTCCCAGGTGCATCCCCAGCACTCAGGTGAATGTAGAAGTCTTTTTGTCCTGTCCATGCATGCACCAGAGCTCCTGAAAAGGTCTGAATTACCGTATTTTTTGCACCATAACACTCACTTTTTTCCTCCTAGAAAGTAAGGGGAAATGTCTGTGCGTGTTATGGAGGAAATGCCTACGGGTGGCATGCCTATGGATTTTCCTCCTCTAAAAACTACGTGCGTGTTATGGTCGGGTGCGTGTTATAGAGCGAAAAATACGGTAGTTTGCTAGCCTACGAAGAGTGCTATTGCAACTCATTATACCTTTTGCTAATAAATGAAAGATGTAATGTGCTATTTTTAAAAGGGTTGTACTGTATGATACCACACTGTATTGTTGATATGATGATATGGGGTCACCTTTGAAAAGCTCATGAATAAGGCATTGCACCAAAATGGGCTACTGACTGGCATCTTGCAGAGGAGAGAACATGTGGAATATACAGTATTTATGAACCTTTCCCCTGCTACCAGCAATTATTTTTCAGACAACTGTGGAAGACGGTTTCTGCAATATTGCATGAGTTAGTGGGAAAGTTTGGCATACATGACATGATTAGATTCTCTTCTGGACATTAGCAAAATGGATTTCAGCTGGAATACAGATGGCAGACTGCATCAACTTCGTTGGGTGACAACTAACACAGCTGGATTCATGTCAATTAGTATTCTACTTTTGTTGTGGACTGGGATATTCCCAAGGTTTATAATGCTTCTGTACATGTTTGTGTACATGTATCTTACCATGTATGTCACACAGATTTCAAGGAGAGCAAAATACAAGCTAGGATACATACAACTAGTCTAGTTCCATGCGTCCATGGTTGCTTTGGAGTTGTTTTTGCCAGCCAGGCATAAGCAGCATGGTAAACTGCCTTGGAAACTGCATGGAGTTTTAAAAATGGTGTGTGATATGGAGGAACTAGCTGTTCAAAACTAAAGAAGTAAAAAGTCACTGTGTTTGCACAAGCTCCTTGCATGAGTAGCTTTTTGAATCCTGTCCCCTATTACCTGCATAGGCTAAAATAATACTATGTGGAGCCTGAAAGAAAATGTTGCAACATGGAGTGCTCATATTCAGAGTTCCAGCTAGACAACCATGCCCATTTTCAGTATACTCCGTTCCATCCATTACCACCCCCACCCCATTTTTCTTCTCCCAACAGTCAATATGCATTATGTGGGTGCTAAAACATGCTCAGCTGTCGGTGAGCTGTTCTGGGGATGCTGCTTTTTTTTACCTCTTTAAATCCCCTTCACCCCAAAATATTTTGGATTCTCCCTGAGCCTGCCATGTATGAGTAGTGGTGTTTTGGATACATAAGGATTGGCACTCAGAGAATAAGTTCATTACTAGTGTATCATATTGGTCTTCACTATTCCATATAATGAACAAAGGAAGGAAATAAACACTTGCATCATTTCCCTCCTCCTATCATATGGACCCAAGAGAGGTAACAGCAAAAGCAAAATTTTCAGAGTAACAGAATGGTCTTACCTCGTATTTTAAATCTATTGTAAAATCTGACTTCAAAGGTTCATTCTTCAGCCTCTTTGCAAGCCTGTGCAGTAAAATAAATAATAAAAATAAAATGAGTTGTTTTTATACATCATACACACACACACACACACACACACACACACACACATCATATACAAATCGGATACATACAAACTAGATGCTTTCAGCGATCATGCCATTACCTAGAAGCATGAATACATAATATCCTAAAAGACAATGCACAATGTACATGTACTGTACACTTCAATGCCAATCCACTGTTCTCCACTTTTCACTTTCCTTGCTTCATGTATTTCCTTCCTCCTTTTACTGCCTTTATACGTACCATCCTATCACAGCTCCCAGATATAGAGAGCTAGCAGAGGCAGCTGCGGTGCTCTTTCAAGAATATTTCTGCACTGGGAAGAGGTTCTGCCACATGCTTACATGTCTAGAGGCAATTGCCACGTGAACCGAAAAAATAAATTCTGAATACCTAAGACAGAGGTGGCTTTAAATTTTCACCTAGACCTGTGGACTGTGTTGGCACAACCAAGAATGATGGTCAGTAGAAGGAATAAAGAAATAGTAAGTTTTGAAAAATATTAAAAATTGGCAGGTGTCGGGGGGGGGGAGAGAAAACTGCTGGGGGTTGGATATGGCCTGTGGATCAGCCACTTCAGTCAAGGACATACTGCTATGTTCTATTTTTTAAATGGAAGCATATGCTTAGGTAATAGAAAGGCTCATTATTCAGCATTTTCACACTGTCAAATTCTCCACAACTAAACATGAATATTAGTCTTTGAGATTTTAAAAATAGTTCCATAAGAAATATTTTTGCTTCTAGTTTCAAAAGGAGTAGATTTTTAGTCTGTTGCAGCAAAAAGAGCACAAGTCTTATGGCAACTTGCTTCCAGACGTACAAAGAAGATCCACAGTTCAGCCAATTATTTTTTGCTTTCTTATGTTCCCCATCTGTAGCATTTAAATATTCTCCACTTTTGCCCAGGTATTTTACTAAGAAACCCTAAAAGATACTTGGCTAGCATTTAATTTTGCCCATGTGCTAATAAAACAAAGTAAAATGCAAATACCTATTTCCCAACATGTACATTTATGAAGAAGTAATTGCTTATTAATGTGCTTTATAATACCCTTGTGAGATAGTGCATGCAGTAAAAGGGAACAGAGTGTTTACAGTTACTTAACATTGGATAAAAGCTCATTTGTGATCAAAGAGTCTAATCTCAATTTATATACATGTAAACACAGCGGCATTTAATGTTTAACATAAATGTTTTACTTCTCCAGAGCATTTTTACAAACACCAACCATTTAGTAAACAAATTTAGAAAGATCACAAAACTGAATTCTTACTTCTTGACAAGTGGAATACTAAGTGCCCAGCCAGCAGCAAAATCTGGAAATTTAAAAATTGTAGGGTTTTCTGCAAATGCATAATGGTGAATAATTGTAGATTCATCATCATGTAACGCTTTTCCTAAAAAATATTCCTGTGGGAGAAAATAATAGAATCATAGAACTGTAGAGTTGGAAGGGACCCCAAGGGTCTAGTCCAAACACCTGCAATGCAGAAATCTCAATAAAAGTATCAATGACAGATGGTCATCCAACCTCTGCTTAAAAACCTGAAACAAAGGAAAGCCCCCCACCTTCTGAGTCTGTTCCACTGTCAAACAGCTCTCACCATCAGAAAGTTCTTCCTGATGTTTAATTGGAATCTCCTTTCTTGTAGCTTATATCTGTTGGTTCAGGTCAGGAAAAAACAAGCTTGTTCCATCTTCCATGTGACAGACTTTTAGATATTTGAAGATAGCTATCATACCTCCTCTTGATCTCCTCTTTTCCAGGCTGTACATACCCTCAACCATTCCTCATAAGGCTTAGTTTCCAGACCCTTGATCACCCTGATTGCCCTCCTCTGCACACGTTCCAGCTTGTCAACAGCCTTCTTAAATTGTGGTGCCGAGAACTGGACACAGTACTCCAGGCATGGTCTGACCAAGGTAGAATAGAGCGGTACTATTACTTCCCTTGACCTGGACACTACTGTAGATGCTGCCTACAATAGCAATAACTTTTTTTACTGCTTCATCACACTATTGATTCATGTTACGTTTGTGGTCTACCAAGACCCGCTAAATCATTTTTGCAAGCCGGCTGTCCCCTATCTTATATTTGTGCAGCTGATTATTCCTGCCTCAATGTAGAACCTTACATTTGTCCCTAATGATATTCATTTTTTTAGAGACACTGTTGAGTATCTGGTGCATACTTTTTACAAAGCTGTGTGGTCAAACGTAAGGCCAGATAAACTTTTCATTTCCTTCAAAAATCCCCAATATGGAATGCTGCGTGCCCTTTTTGATGATACATCACTGACACTTTTGTCTATCAGTGTTATGCAGCTTCCACGTGAATTGATAAATATATACCAGCAGACAGTACTTTGATAGGCAAACTACTCCTCATATAACTAGAGGTCTTTCACTCATTGTTGATATATGTCATTTGCTGTTTTATATTTGTAGGTGGAACAGATTCAGGTAGGTAGCTGTGTTGGTCTGACGCAGTTGCAACACACACACACACACAAGGATATGTCTGACAGTACTATTTACCTTAGTGAATCAATAAAAGGTTAGTCTATATGCAAACTTTCCTCCCCATGGCACTCAAGCAGTGGTAAAAAAGTTTTATTCATTGGCCCAGGAAGTGATAGGTCATTAGCCAATAAATCACAAGTCTTCATCTATGCATGGCATTAGAACAGATACTGAATCTTAATCGTACACTAAAATTTCTATTCACCAACTTGTCAACTAGCAACATGAGTAAGTGTACACTAATCTGCTGCTTGTTTATATAATTAACAGTTGTTAGCTGCAATTAATGGAAGAACCTTTCCATGACCAAATGTGGTAATTACTTTATCTTAGCCACACACTGGAAACCATTTAGAAACAATACCACAATATTTTGTGAATGCAAGAAGAGTGGTAAAGTGTAGTAGAGGGAGCAATTTTTTTGCCACCAATTTCAAGGTTCATTCATGTCTAGAGACTTGATGATGTATTTAAATCATTCTATATATTTAGATTGGACGCGGGTGGCGCTGTGGGTAAAAGCCTCAGTGCCTAGGACTTGCCGATCGAAAGGTCGGCGGTTCGAATCCCCGCGGCGGGGTGCACTCCCGTTGCTCGGTCCAGCGCCTGCCAACCTAGCAGTTCGAAAGCACCCCCGGGTGCAAGTAGATAAATAGGGACCGCTTACTGGCGGGAAGGTAAACGGCGTTTCCGTGAGCTGCGCTGGCTCGCCAGATGCAGCTTTGTCACGCTGGCCACGTGACCCGGAAGTGTCTCTGGACAGCGCTGGCCCCCGGCCTCTTAAGTGAGATGGGCGCACAACCCTAGAGTCGGACACGACTGGCCCGTACGGGCAGGGGTACCTTTACCTTTATACATTTAGATTAGGCAACCTTACCTTTGTAAAAGCTGGACTGATTCTTCAGCAAGGCTTGTTCAATACTGCTTAAAAGTTTTGGTCTTTATAATGCTTTCTACCAATTTTCCCCAATTTGATTTAGGCTACTAGTATGTAATTTTCTAGATGGCCACTTACTGTGAATACCTCTATTTAAAAAAAACTGGTTGCTAATATCACTGCTATTCAAACACAGTACATGGGTAGTTTTGTTCTTGGACATCTCTAAGGTTTGATCTTGAGCACAGTGATAAGTAGAGGAATAAGATTCTTAGGATGTCAGTACCAAAATGTGTAATGCAATGTAGTCTCTTTGACCTACGTTCATCAATTACCTTCAGTTCCCACTGCAGTATAACTTTTAGTCATTAAGTGCTCCTATCAGAAGTGGGAATTTCTTTATTCATTAAAGCTTTCTTTATTCTTAAGAGCATTATATAAAAGCAAATTAACCAACATCTCTATTTCTAAGCTAGTAATCTAAATTTCCCATTTTTACCTCAAAATGCAAGTAGTCAATGAATTTAACTTCACCTTAGACTTGTCATAGCCTTCAAGTATTTTCAGTAGCTTTACAAGATGTATTCTTGTATCTTCTTCACAGAAGAAAAACCATGAAGAATTTCTGCTGTATGTAACAGAAAAACTGACAAAAGAAGATTAGATTATTGAGATGAGATTATTGAGAAGACTGGGAAAGACTTAACAGTGTGACCCTAGACACATCTACTCCAAAGTAGTTCAATGAGATTTACTCCCAGGTAAGTACGCTAATAATATATGCCTTGTATCTTAAATGCAAAAATGAAGAACATTTAAAGAGTCATTTGAATTGATTTTCATCAGCAATATAGTGATGGCTACCTCAGGCAACAAAAAGCAGTGTTACTGCCCTGCTCAGACATAACAGGAAACCGGACAGGTGTGCAGCCTCCCTTACCTGTCAAAACTCACCGTAACCAGCAATCATCTGATCAGTTGTTACAGCAAGCGCCTTTGAAGTCTTTTACAGGTGTAGCTGTGCCTTCAAAGGGACAAGGCTATGCTTGCTGTCAGCACCAATCACCTGACTAGCCCTGAGCCCCTGTGACTGCACTGCAGAGATCCCGGGGATGAACAACTTACTGCAACCAATCCCACTCGGGTTCGCTGTCAGGCAGCCTATCATGCAAAAAAACCCAACTGTGAGCTCACCCAATTCTTCCTTTGCAACCACATCCTTATTTGGGAGGGGGAGAATGGTTTTGCAGGTCAAACTGGGACCTGTGCTGGACCACGTTAAGCCCATGAGCTAGAGATTCCTCACTACTGCATTACATGAACAGCAAACCTCGAGCTTGCACACTTGCCCCTTTCACACACCAGAGGAAAGGAATGTTGGCTTTTTGGTTTTTAAATCACTCGTCAAATCTGTCTTTTGCCCCTTGGCTTCTTCCTTCAATTTTTGGATTGTTTCATATGATGCCCTCCCAATTATTGTTCTGATTATTTTTAATGTGCAGTTCTAAAGAGCTTTAGGTAGCTGAAGTGAACTGGAAAAAAATGGAAAAAACATTATAAATAAAGGGGAAAGGCATATCCTAGGTGCCCCACAGATGACCTCTAACCCCTTTATACTGGCTCCAAGAGCCCTACATTTTTCCACATCCACTCACAGTAAATATCTGCAAAACATCACACACTTCCAATACCCACTTCTTCCACAAAGCTTCTTGAACCTTTATTGCCTTGCCTTTATCTCACTATTGGTTATAAATCAAAGTCCTCTTCCAAAGAAAAGGCCTTCAGTTGAGTATTGCAGATGTGATGCGTATAGTAACATGGATGTGTGGGGAGAGCAATCCCAAAAGGAAAGGAGCAGTAGAAGGAATGTGTGCAGACAGGAGAGAACAAAAAAATTGGAAATCTTTAGCTCAAAACAAATATTGGTGGTGGGTGAGCTACTCCTTTCTGCCACATTTTCACTGCAAATGGTTTTGGTTCTACCAGACAAAAACCATTTGAACTGGCCTGAACTGCTGCCTCACAAATGATACCCCTGTATCACACTTACTCGTGCATTAATGGTAGAATGGTCCATGCACCTTCATGCTTGTCCATCTGATGAATAAGCAGAACTGTGGGCATCTCCTTTAAGAAAAGGGTAAACATTTTTATAACATTCATGTTAATAAAACATTAGCACTGTACATTGTTTTAAACATTTTGGTTTCAGCTTTTCCTGCAAAATGTGTTCACTATAATTTCCCATTTCCGCTGTACTCTTTTAAACAAAACAATTCTCTACTGCTCTGTGTTTTAATATTTATTTTTACTTTAATTATGTTTATAACTGGCTTACTTTTTTTACTTTATCTGCTCTTATCTGATTTTTATAGGGTTTAATTGTGATATTCTAATATTGCTTGCTATAAAAATATTTGTTAAATGGGAGAAAACACTGACCAAACATGAGCCAGTTTAGAAGTGACAAACTCAGCTTAATCTACCATTCTTTATTAAACAGAGAACAAGGTTGGGCCAGGCACTCTCCTCACATTTCCCCATGCAGTGCCTTGGATACTGGTTAATTTGAATCAGTGTTTCCCATTATACCCAAACTGGCATATTTTAGCATAAATCAAGGTTTAGTAACCAGGACACCTTGAGTTTAAGCCACAGTTCAGATGTAATAGGAACTATGGTAAGCTAAGCAGTATACAAGTGATGAAGCTGGCATGCAAGGGGCGAGACAAAAATGTGGTTCCAATGGTTCATTGACATGAACTTGCTACTTCTGAATTAGCCTGCCATAGAATGCTAAGGAACAAACACAGGGCAAATTTATGTCGGCTCCTTGGACTTTTATAATAAATCTCGAGATATCTGAATTTAATATATTCAACACTGAAGAAGAAGAAATAAGTATCAGATACCTTGTGCTGTTTTGGTTGTTTTTTTGACTACTCTGGGATTCTATTTGAATGACAATAAATCAAGTATGCATAATTCTTTCAACAACTGGGCATTTATTGTAATTATTTTACTTCCTTGGCAGTCCTACCATAAACACTTTTGTCTCTCTCTTAAAATGCCAGCTATTTCTATCACCAAATGCAGGCTTTCTACTAGGATGAATGAAGGGGGTAAATCTATTTATAGCTGAGGAAGCTCGCAAGTTAGGTTCCATGTCAAACATTTCCCTTCAAGTAGAAGAAGAGGGGCTTCTTATCTCAGCAGCCTTTTAAGAAAGGAAAAATGGAGAGCTGCCTGAGCAACCTTCAACAAATGCTTTGATTTTCTTTGAGAATAGCTGGCTGGATTTTGGTCTTTAAAAAAACAATTTCAAGTATACTTGCAAGCTTCATTTACACACTCGGGCCTCAAAACGTTTCCTTTCAATTTTGCCATTATAACTGCTAAGAATATATATTCTGTGACTTTATTTGTTGTTTTAGCACATCAAGATTACCCCTCTTCACCATACTTCGTTATTCTGTAATAAACCCATTAATTTTACCTACACTTCTTCCTAAAAATTACATACGGTTTCCCAATACTCACTGGATTAAACAAGCATCAAACTTGCATAGCTTCAGTTAGAAGAACTGCTTCATGTGCCTTTAGATAACGGCCCTTTTGAAAATTTTATTCCTACCCATGGACTGCACTCTGCCAGGCAGCAATCAAGTAGACCAGGCAGCAATCAAGCAGTTACCTTTCTTGCCCATCTAATTCTATATCAGGGCCAGGATTAGAAAGGCTATACAAGTTACCCACTGAGAATAAGATTTTTTTGAAGGGCTTCTCAAAGTGCTGACCCTCATGCTGCAAGGCAAGCACCACTCTAAAGAATTGGGGTGAGGAAAACAATTCTCATCTATTTTAGGCTACAATGTCAATGGCAATAATCAATATGAATGCTCAGTAAGTATCTTTTGATAATTGTGGATTCTTAAGAGCGCATATTCTCATATTTATTGGTGGGACTAGATCCAAACTTAAGTCATGCTTGGAGAAGAGCCATTAAAATCTATACAATTTGCAGTCTTTTTTAAACATGGCCAAGTTTGGATCCAACCCAAAATAAATAAGGTAACACAAACAATGATGATCTGAATCAAACCCATGTATCTGGGATAATTTTACAATTATCACTCTAGTAGTTTTACTTTAAAATTATTTATAGGTAACCCTTTAATTGGCAATGAACATTATAACTTGCACAGTACTCTTATTTTCTGATATTATCATTTAATATCACAAGTTTGTTTTTTTAAATTTTGCATGCTTTTATCACCATTTAAAGACCACAATTATACTAATGTTGCATTATTTATTCATGACCAGCTCTAAGCAAGATAATAGCACCCTTGCAATTTTCACATGAATGGAACAATCTGTTCTCATAATTTAAAATTCTGAAGTTTATTAGATATTTCATATCAGGTTTTACAAGTGAAGTGCAGCTTTATAATATGAAAATCTTCCATGTGTTCAAAATACAAGGTTGTCAACTGCATGCTATTTTTGTAGAGACAGAATTCCATTAGAACATAATTCTAGTAATGGACTTTATATTCAAAACAGCATAAATAGAAACGCATTTAGTCCTACCGCTATACTCAAAATTTAAATGAACAGCATAATTGCAGGCATGCTGCCAAATTGTCTGTACAGCCTGCAGCAAACAGCAAGTAATAAGTGGAATTTATAGCAACCTAATCATTTTATACTCTCGGTCACTGGCTTTAATCCAATGATAGTCTTAGCATCCCAAAGGAGCCCAAGAGAATTAGCCCAAGCTCCAAAAAGCAAAATGAGTTTCATAAGCCTTAAGCAACTAATTCACATGGATCTCTTAGGTAATTTAACAATTTTATTATCTTGATGACTTAGATGTTTTCCACACAGAAAATTCAAAAAGCAAAAGCTTTGAAGTCACAAATATTAAGGAAATTAAAGTCCATTTACAAATTTCACATAAATGCCTATTTCCTTCCCATTTCCATTTATCCCTAAATAAAAAAGTCTCCTATGTATTTTGTCATCTGAAAGCATATTCAACCAATTTTTTGAAATACCAAGTAGAACAACTTTCTAAGCCACAGTATTTGGATATGCATGATAAACCGCCATTTTGAAAGAATAGTAAGCTAGAGTTACGACAGTCCTAAAGCTATGAGTAGCTTCCATAGCACACCGAATATTGAATGCCACTATAACTACAATGGTCCCACTGAAAGGGCAGTGGGGCAAATCCATCCTGATACATTATTATATTCTAATATAATACACCATACTTAGCATTTAGGATTGTGTTGTGTCAATGTAGAGGCTCCATTATGGCCAATATACCTTTGAGGTATCCACACAGATGGAACATCTTACATTCCAGAACTCCTCCTATACTCATCAATCGGTAATTCTGAACCATATGGCAGGTGTTTGTTTTTTTGAAAAAACAATTCCACTACACAGCTTCTGACAATGGTTGCTATGATTCGCAATTCAGTAGCAAGCCCCATCCTATATAAAAATGCATTATCATGATGCCACAGACAACGGCCATGTTTGAATGATTTTTCATAACTTCATAAACCATGCTTTATGAAGCTGTTGATGAGTGCTGTGGCCGCAGGCTCTTTCTTCTCTTCTGCCCATCCCTTGTTTCTTGCCAGCATGGAGATCTTGGTTACCATTAAACAATTGTTTATTAATCTCTTTCCATAAGGCACCCCAAAGTGATTCACAATATATATAAAAGTTACATATATAAAAAGTTAAAATGCAATAACTACTATAAAACATTTTAAAACAGCAGAACATACATAACATCCATTCAAATCCAAGCCCAATACAAACTGGGATAAAGATTTTAAAAGAATTGTTGATAGGGGGACACCTTTAGCAGATGCTGAAAAGACAATAGAGAAGGCCCCAGTCTGATTTGTAATGGGAGGGAGTTCCAAAAGGGAAGTGCTGCCACACAAAAAGCCCAATTCTGAAATCATGCAGAATGGACCTCCTGATAGGATGGTCCCATCACTGAGTCCAAGCACTGGTCCAAGGCTTGCATGGTCTCTCCCAATTCAGATGTTACAGAGAACTAGAGCTACTGATGACATCTTGGCCCAAATTGCCTAATAACGGCTCCCATGTATATGTTACGCTGCATCAGGGAGAGGATGGTGCTCTGGAGCACCACACAGCACAACTGTCAGGGGTGCAAGATATAATCACCCCATTCTATTCTCTGCAACTGATGCTGAAGACAGGACCAAAAATACTGGAAAACAGTGCCTCCAATAACATCAGGGTGACCAGAAGCAATTCAGCCCCATAACCAGGCCAGAACCGCAACTGCAGTGGGTCAAGAGAACTGGTTTCGTCCAAGATTATTTGCAACTGTTACACCGCAATCATCTTAATCACCCAGAAGGGGGAATTTATGACAGGTGGTAGTTGTCACAAAACAATGGTTCCATGGTGGATATTTTCAGGAGTGGTTGATTCACCTCCTCTTTCTAAGTGGCCAGAACAAGGATGCATATTGATTACATCCTGGACCCATTCAGTTATACTCACTCAGCAAGCTTTAATTAGCCAAGAGGAACAGGTGTTGACAGAACACATGGTTGGCTGCATGATTTATTTATAAAAGTATATCGTATTTTTTGCTCTATAAGACTCACTTTTTCCCTCCTAAAAAGTAAGGGGAAATATGTGTGTGTGTTATGGAGCGAATGCAGGCTGCGCAGCTATCGCAGAAGCCAGAACAGCAAGAGGGATTGCTGCTTTCACTGCGCAGTGATCCCTCTTGCTGTTCTGGCTTCTGAGATTCAGAATATTTTTTTTCTTGTTTTCCTCCTCCAAAAACTAGGTGCGTTTTGTGGTCTGGTGCGTCTTATAGAGAGAAAAATATGGTATGTATATTGCAGTTTCATGAACTATATCAAAGAGTCTACAACAATTAGGGTTGCCATATTTCAAGAAGTAAAAATCCAGGCACAAAAGCAACCCTAACAATAATCAAAGTATAATAAGAACAGCACAAAAATTTAATTGTTGCTAGCACTTTGTCCACTGCATAAACAGTTTGTGGAGGTGAAGGTTGCTGTAAATGGGGCCCTGGAAGGCACAATCCTTTG